GCCTCAAGCTTGAATGGGGGGGGGGGGGGGGTGTATAACAAACCGATAAACACACAGCTGTCTTTACTAAGCTGAAAACATCAATTATAATGTATGCTGATATAGTTCGTCCTGGTGCTTCACTGTGAATTTCTTTCTACCTAATGATGTTTTGAGCCAAACTGGCGTTTTACACTAACTGAAGGATTGAGTTTTGAGGAGAGAACTTCAGTGATGTTTGTCCTTGAGAGGTAGAAACCAACTTTAGACTGAACAAAAAAAATTCTCCACATTGATTAACTGTAAATGCAGAACATCCCAAAACAATGAACACATGCTGTAGAGTAGGTGTTATTTTAATAGATATTAAGCAACATTGAGGAAAATCTTTTTAACAAGGTTGTGTGGACAAACTAAGATGTGCAAAGCAGTTTATGATGTTTACTCCCCTCTACAAAACATGTGCATCCGTTTAAGGGTAGTGGAGCATGAAAATTCAGTACTTGTGAACACTGGAGGCTTTTGTAGTCCACTCATACTCCCCAGTAGCTGTTCTGGGACAATCCTTAATTTAGTTAATCTCTACACATTTTTAAAATGGGAGCCAAGACTGAGCAACAGCGTTACACTTTCAAGTGCAGACGGTTTCTGCCACATGCGACTACCAGTGGCAATAATTAGAAACACTATTTTAAGCTTGAGCGGAAGCCAGTGTAGTTCTTAAATAATTATGTTAGATTGTATTGCTGTGTTCACGCACTATGGGACACTTGAACTTGTGACCAGGCAGTCCCACTTCGCGACCGTGTGCCGTCTTTGCAAGTCACATGCTAATTGCAAAGTGCTTGCAAACTAAATCAAAGAGGTAATAAATCTGGCCAGTCTATGCAAATAAAGTGGTTCCAGAGGGATCTGTGCAAAGCCTGATAAACTGCCTAACTGATGTAAACTGAGTTAACGTTGGTAGGTCTGGAGACAAAGTATAAAAATAAAATCTGCAGGTGAACCTGGCAGACCTCTGACAGCAAATAATCCCACAGTGTCCCATAAATCATGACAATCTGTAGGGGAAATCAAGCCTGGTAATGAAGGTCAGGCTCGACCTTGCTCCTAATGTGCTTAATTTTACTAAATCTGAGCCTTCAGTTATTAAAGTACCTTGTCAGTGTTAATCTATGAAGCAAGCAGAAGAAAGAGTTGTTTACTCAAAGATGATTTCACCTTGCTGAAACATTCACCCGTTCCCGAGTGTGTCTGTGTGCGTGCTCTTGTCCGATCCTCTTTAAGCAGGCTGACGCCTGTGTTATTATCTCGGAGTGCACTGTAATTAAGACGTTCACATCACCTGCTTTGTGTGAGAGAACTTGGATGGTTTATGATTACT